AGGTCTTTTGTTCTGGATGGCGTCAGACCTCGGCGTCAGGTCGTAACACGTGGTGCACACCCCATTGTGGGGGGGGGGGGGTGCTTGGACCTCCATATAAGCCCAAGGAACAGCTGAGCAGGGAGACTTCGAGCGGAGCTGCTGCTGTGTGCAGAGCTCTGAGCAGAGAGACTTCGAGCAGAGCTGCTGCTGGGGTGCAAGTCTGCTGAAGTCTCTGGAGGAGACTGTTGGAGACATTGGGCAGAGTACTGGCTTGGCGCAGTACTCGTGCTGTGTAGGTCTTGGGACCTGTGGCTTAGTTCCTGTGGTGAACTGCCCTCTGAACTATATTGTAAGTTATATTCATTTTGGTCAAGTTGATTGTATTCCCTGTCTCACTGCTTATATGTACCACCCCATTTATCTAAACACAATAATGTACTCCTGTTCCCAAATATATTATTGTACAAGGACTTAATAATAAACTGTGTTTGAGTGGAATAGTAATATTCACTGCCCCCGTTATTTACTCATTTATTCATTTATTTTTATTTCAAGTAGTGAGAGGGTGAGTAGTGTGGTGGGTAGAGTAATGAGAGGTGAAGGTGTAGTCACCAGTGACCTCACATTACCTACCTCTCACCGATAATCACTCGACTCAGACTCTCCTGCCTTACTCCCCTAACTCCGTTATTCCCCGATTATCCGTACGTTCCATTACCCCCCGACATGACATTATTAGTAGTAGCGGTGGTTGGTTGGTAATAGTAGTAGTAGTAGTAGTAGTGTTGGTTGGTGGTAGTAGTAGTGGTGGTGGTGGTTGGTAGCAGCAGTAGTGATGGTAGTGGTGATTATTACTAGTAGCAGCGGAAGTATTAGTCTGGTGACTGAGATCTTTCCCTGGCTTGCTTGTCTATGAGCCATGATTTAAAGACTAACAGCTTAATGGATAGTATTGAAATCTGCATTTAAGACCTCAGAACACAGAAGGGATTGTGTGTGTGCTTACCTATATGTGGCTGCAGGGGTCAAGTCACAGCTCCTGTGTGGGTGTGTTAATGGAGACAGAGCACTTTAGCTTATGTCCTTCCCTGGCAGTGAAGTGTATATTGTGGAGAGAAAGAGAAAGAGAGAGAGAGAGAGAGAGAGAGAGAGAGAGAGACAGAGAGACAGAGAGACAGAGAGAGAGAGACAGAGAGAGAGAGAGAGAGAGAGAGAGAGAGAGAGAGAGAGAGAGAGAGAAGAGAGAGAGAGAGAGAGAGAGAGAGAGAGAGAGAGAGGATGAGGGAGAAGGCGAGGGAGAATAGAAGAGAGGGAGAAGACAAAGGCAGGAGTGCAATAACGAGGCAGCAACAAGGGATGATCAGCAAGGGTTGCAAGAATCTCGACCACTCAGGTGATGACGCCGGCCCAGCCAAATTGCAACCAGGCCAGACAGCCTCTCATCTACACGATTTCCAGGCCATCCCTCATTATCTGATAGGTGATGGGCGTGATGGTGGGTGATGGGTGGTGAACGTAGGCCTCTAGCCAGTCAAATAGGCCTAACAAATTCCTCCCAAAAGAGCCTAAAAATCTCTCCTATCAATCTCCTCCTCCTCGCATCATCACCGTCATCACATCAGTAATGACACAGGTCATCTCAATAATTGCCCTCATTAAGGCTTTTAAAATTAACTCTACACCTCTATTGTTAGCTTAGCTTAGAATGTTAGCTTAGAATGTTAGTTTACAATGTTAGTTTGGAACGTTAGGTTAGAATGCTAGAATGTGAATTTAGATCTAGTTCAAATCTGCATTTACCGATTTGTGTTTGTGGGGGTCGAATCACAGCCCCTGGCCTCGTCTACTTGCTGATCGCTACTAGTGTGTGTGTGTGTGTGTGTGTGTGTGTGTGTGTGTACTCACCTATTTGTACTCACCTATTTGTGGCTGCAGGGGTCGAGTCATAGCTCCTGGCCCCGCCTCTTCACTGATTGCTACTAGGTCCTCTCTCTCCCTGCTCCATGAGCTTTATCATACCTCGCCTTAAAACTATGTATGGTTCCCGCCTCCACTACTCTTTCTAGGCTATTCCACGGCTTGACTACTCTATGACTAAAGAAATACTTCCTAACATCCCTTTGATTCATCTGAGTCTTCAACTTCCAATTGTGACCTCTTGTGTCTGTGTCCCATCTCTGGAACATCCCGCCTTTGTCCACCTCGTCTATTCCGCACAGTATTTTATATGTCGTTATCATGTCTCCCCTGACCCTCCTGGCCTCCAGTGTCGTCAGGCCGATTTCCCTCAACCTTTCTTCGTAGGATAATCCCCGTAGCTCTGGGACTAGTCTTGATGCAAACCTTTGCACTTTCTCTAATTTCTTGACCTGCTTGACTAGGTGTGGATTCCAAACTGGTGCTGCATACTCCAGTATGGGCCTGACGTAAATGGTATACAGAGTCTTGAACGAATCCTTACTGAGGTATCGGAAAGCTATCCGTAGGTTTGCCAGGCGCCCGTATGCTGCAGCAGTTATCTGATTGATGTGCGCCTCAGGAGATATGCTCGGTGTTATACTCACCCCCAGATCTTTTTCCTTGAGTGAGGTTTGCAGACTTTGGCCATCTAAACTATATTGTGTCTGCGGTCTTCTTTGCCCTTCCCCAATCTTCATGACTTTGCATTTGGCAGGGTTAAACTCAAGGAAGCCAGTTGCTGGACCAGGCTTGTAGCCTGTCCAGGTCTCTTTGTAGTCCTGCCTGATCCTCATCCGATTTGATTCTTCTCATTAACTTCACATCATCCACAAACAAGGACACTTCTGAGTCTACCCTTCCGTTATGTCATTCACATATACAAGAACAGCACAGGTCCTAGGACTGACCCCTGTGGAACCCCGCTTGTCACAGGCGCCCACTCTGACACCTCGTCACGTACCATGACTCGTTGTTGTCCTCCCTGTCAGGTATTCTCTGATCCATTGCAGTGCCTTTCCTGTTATGTGTGCCTGATCCTCTAGCTTTTGCAGTAACCTCTTGTGAGGAACTGTGTCGAAGGCCTTCTTGCAGTCCAAAAAAATGCAGTCGATCCACCCCTCTCTCTCCTTGTCTTACTTCTGTCACCTTGTCATAAACTCTAGTAGGTTTGTGACACAGGATTTTCCCTCCCTGAAACCATGCTGGTTGTCAGTTATACACTTGTTTCTTTCCAGGTGCTCCACCACTCCCCTCCTGATGATCTTCTCCTTGACCTTGCATACTATACACGTTAGTGATACAGGTCTGTAGTTTAGTGCCTCATGTCTGTCTCCCTTTTTAAAAATTGGGACTACATTTGCCATCTTCCATACCTCGGGGAGTTGCCCAGTTTCAAATGATGTGTTGAAGATCTTTATTAATGGTACACACAATATCTCTGCTCCCTCTTTAAGGACCCACGGAGAGATGTTGTCTGGTCCCACCGCCTTTGAGGTGTCAAGTTCGCATAGCAGCTTCTTCACCTCCTCCTTGGTTATATGTACCTCATCCAGCACTTGCTGGTGCACCCCTCTGCTCTGATTTCCTGGAGTCCTACTGGTTTCCACTGTAAATACTTCTTTAAATCTTGTGTTGAGCTCCTGACATACCTCCCTGTCGTTTCTTGTGAATTCTCCATCACCCTTCCTCAGTCTGATTACCTGTCCTTGACTGTTGTTTTCCTCCTGATGTGGCTGTAAAACAGCTTCGGGTCAGTCTTGACTTTCGATGCTATGTCATTTTCGTATTGCCGCTGAGCCTCCCTTCTTATCTGTGCATATTCGTTTCTGGCTCTTCGGCTAATCTCTTTATTTTCCTGAGTTCTCTGTCTTCTGTACCTTTTCCATTCTCTAGTACACCTAGTTTTTGCCTCCCTACACCTTTGGGTGAACCAAGGACTCGTTCTGTTCTTCCCATTATTTCTGTTTCCCTTGGGAATAAACCTCTCCTCTGCCTCCTTGCATTTTGTGCCACATAGTCCATCATTTCTTTTACGGTTTTTTCCTGTCAGTTCCCTCTCCCACTGAATGTCTTGAAAGAAGTTCCTCAAGCCTGAGTAGTTCCCCCTTTTGTAATTTTGTTTTTTCCCACCCTATTCCTCCTGCTCTTTTCCACTTGGAGCTCAACTATGTATAAAAGCACAGAACTACATGATCACTACTCCCAGGGGCCCTTTTCATACATGATATCCTCGATGACAGAACTACTCAAGGTGAATACAAGGCCCATCTTGCTGGTTCATCCTCTCCTCTCTCTCTGGTAGTGCCCTCTAACATGTTGATGCATGAGGTTTTCCAGTACCACATCCATCATCTTGGGCTCTCCATGTTTGGGGACCCCCATGGGGCTCCATGTTTTCCCAGTCAATCTCCTTGTGATTGAAATCGCCCATAACTAGTAACTTTGCTCCCCCCATGTGTGCTCTCCTGGCCAGTCGGCTAGGTGTCGACCATTGCTCTGTTCCCTGCATCGTATTCTTCTCTTGGCCTACTCCCAGTTCTGTGGTGGGTTTACATTACTGCAATTATCCCCTTTATGTTCCCTCAGACGGGATTGTTCCTACTAAGTAGTCCCTTTCGCCCGTGCCATCCA